TTCTGTCGTTTGTGTCCTGTTTCTTTGTCTCGGCATTTTTTATGCTTCACTGTGTCGATAGGGTGCCTTTCTGTGCTAAGTGTCCCAATTACCTGAGGTAGACACTCTTGGTGCACCCCCTTGTGGGCTTTGTGCACAGTCTTGTTGTAGTTAAGCCTTGATTGTTGTAGGTAACTCTGGGAGGAATTGACCTCCAGGCCAATTGGCTGTGAGAATCAGCTGTGTCTGCAGTGGGGGAACTTCTGTGCTGGAGACACCCCTCCGGGGCAAGACTTGCTTCAATGGGGCTTTGGTGCTCACTGAGTCTGCCCCCTGAGTGTGTCCTTTATGGTTCCACGGAGCTTCAACACCTACATGAAGCCTACTCAGACCAACAACACTGTAACATTCTTCATTTTCTGAAGTGGCTCAGCCCTTGATTGCTATAAATTTTTATTTCATAAATTTTATTTTATATGGAAATGTAATAAATGTTTATTGAATGACTGCGGATACCATGATAAAGATTGACTAGAAAAAAAGGTGTATTCATTAAGCTTCAGAGTTACAAAACTATTTTCTTCCAATGAAGCCTCAGTTTTTGGAAACGGAACTCTGGCTCAAAGTTCCAGAAAAAAGGTGATCCAGTCTAATATTTGAGTGCTATATATTCTTTCTTCTAAGAAAACTCTCTTCTACATGTATCATCACCCCTTCAAAGTTTTCAATCTATCATCCTGTATTGATTCTGAAACCCAAGGTTAACTGACTATTTATATTAGTCAATGGTAGCTTTGGCTCTGAGAACACATAACCCCCAATTCAGGTCATGTCCTAGTTAATTATGCTGTCTCCTATTCAACTTTGTATTTCATTACTTCCCTTTAATGTGGAAAGTCTTTTCTAGTTAAGTTAGTATTTTCTTTTCTTATAAAATGCACTCTTTGACTTTTTGAAGGGTATTCCCATGACCAAACACATTTTACACTATTTTAGTACATAATTTAATATTTTCTTCTTTTCCCTGTAACACCTACATGAAGCCTACTCAGACCAACAACATTGTAACATTCTTCATTTTCTGAAGTCGCTCAGCCCTTGATTGCTATAAATTTCTATTTCATAAATTTTATTTAATATGGAAATGTAATAAATGTTTATTGAATGACTGAAGATACCATGATAAAGATTGACTAGAAAAAACAGTGTATTCATTAAGCTTCAGAGTTACAAAAACTATTTTCTTCCATGGAGACCCCAGTTTGTGGAACAGGAACTCCAGCAAAGCCATTTTCATTGACGTAGTCTTCACTCATTTCCTTGATCTGTGTGTGATGGTGGAAAGAATACAAAATTAAGATAAACTTGGATTTTCTGATCAATGATGATTCCTTTTCTTACATCTGGGTCGTATAGTGTCTAAGGAAACCAAGTAGTATAGTGGGCAACAAGATCCATTACTTATAATGATCAAATCAGCAATCCTCTGAACTATCTGAGGTTTAAGCAGCACTGTCCTCTCCAAATAAATGCAGTTTTCTATAATAAGTTACACCATGAGCAATATGATGTCTATGAAGAGTGTTGAGCCAATATTTTATGGAGGAGATTTGAGGAACAAAACAAAGGGGTTCTGACTGCATTTGGAAGGAGTGTGAATTACTTACCTTTGCTGCAAGGAGCATTGTACTCAGCAATTGCAAACTCATCTGCATAAAAACAAAATCATTAGGTGAAGTGAGAGAGATAGCAAACATTTATGGGATATAGGTTAGTGAAAGAATATTATGGGAGAAATTGTATTTTGTCAGAAACATCAGCAGCATTCATTTGATGCATTCCTGGCTGCCTTATATTGTTAACTTTTCAAATACAGTACATTATGTTTCCTTTACTCTGTACTCCTGAAGGGACAGTTCAATGTTGAACTTATTTAAATAAAATATTGTTATATAGTTGAATTAGCTGAAGAAAAGGGAACTAAATATCTTACAGATGTTTCGTATTAATTGCTTTATTTACATTATAGGCAGTTTCTATAATGTATGTATAGAAGGCAAAGAGAGGAGAATCAGATTTGATAAAGACAAAACGAAGTGCTAAGAACTATTAATGTAATGAATTTCCCCTACATGTTTCTGAAATCTAAATTTCTGTGATCAGGAATTTAATTTGTGTGTAAAAATTGCTCACACTCACCCGTCTCATAGTAATCGTAGACTTTCACTATGGCTGGTTGGAGATCTCTTACTGGGATATCTTGGAGAACCGTGAAGGACAAGCTCAGAGTCTGATTTGTCACCTAGAAAGCAAAAGGGAATTAAATGAGCTTTCTTCTCTTTTCTTTGAATGACTTTAAATATTCATTTGTTTGGGGAAAAAACTCTTTTTTAATTATTATTATTATTTTTATTTCTGCTTAATCATCACCCGAGGATATTTTCCCATTGATTTTTAGAGAGATTGGAAAGGAGGGGGAGAGACAGAGAGAGAGAAACATTGATGTGAGAGAGACACATCGATTGGTTGCCTCCATCATGCACACTGAACAGGGCCAGACATCGAGCCTGCAACTGAGGTACGTGCCCTTGACCACAATCAAACCTGGGATCCTTCAGTCCACAGGCCAATGTTCTATTCACTGAGCCAAACTGGCTAGGGCAAAACACCATTTAAAAAAATCAACTAACAGGGTTCTTAAATTGTGCAGAAAGCTCCCCAATTGTTTCTTAAACAAATAAATCAATTCATATATCCCCATCAGTATTTTGTTCATAGAGGTGAATGATATATGAATTTTATTGATTGGATAGCTATGTATTTTTGAATATCCAGAAATTCGGCACCATTTAATTTCTCTATCTTGCAGAAATACTAGTGTTGACTCAAAAAAGAATATAAAAGGTCAATAATTGTAACCTTGTTTACATTTCATAAATTTGTAAATTACAATATTCATCAATCTATAAATAAATAAACTATGTACAACATATAAATATAAAATTAGAGTGGCTTATTGGTGGGCTGATCTATTTACTTTATGGTCCAAGTCCTTGCTGAGATTGACAGTATTTTCCCCTTTTATATTGTTGATGTATTATTGATATAATAATTGACAAACCCAATGGTACTTCCTTACATTACTCAGAATAACTTGAGGATATAATAAGCATATTTGGTAGAGAATTTCTTGCTTATAATGTCCTAGAAATATGAATACCCAATATTATAATAAGCCATTTCTTTCCATAGCCCCAGATGAAATATAAATAAAGAAGGAGAGGAGAACATGTACTGGAATTAATGTTAGAATTCTCAAATATTTAGCATAGAAGTGATGTCTCAAAAATGCCTTCCTTCATTTCCTAGATATCTCCCTTAGAAGGATTATCTTTACTAGAGGCCTGGTGCATGAATTCATGCACCAGTGGGGTCCCTTGGCCTGGCCTGTGGGATTGGCTGAAACGGGCCCTCCAACATCCCCCGAGGGGTCCTGGATTGCGAGAGGGTGCAGGCCAGGGTGAGGGACCCCACCGGTGCACAATTGGGACCGGGGAGGGACACGGGAGGTTGGCCAGTCCGGGAGGGACTGCAGGAGAGCTCCAGGGTGTGTCCGGCCCATCTTGCTTAGTCCCAATAGGCTGGAACCCAGCAGCAAGCTAACCTACCAGTTGGAGCATCTGCCCTCTGGTGGTCAATGCATGTCATAGTGAGTGGTAGAGCGGCCTTAGCATATCAGCATACTATGCTTTGATTGTTTAAACCGAAGACCGGATGAGTGGACACTTAGCATATTAGGCTTTTATTATATAGGATTTTTTGCAACTAGAGTGGTAGGACTCTCACCTTATCTAGGTAAATCAAAACATGGTTGTTGCTGACTTCTGTTCGGCTCACATCATCAGATCTTTCAAGCTGAAGAACATGAAGACATTGCAAATGTTAATAAACAGAAGAAAGCCCCTGGGAAACCCAGAGAAAAGAAGAATTTTATTACCAAATTATATTAAGCCTGAGGATAATATTTCTTCTAATATTTTTTGTAAGTAAAGACAATAATGTTGTACAATTAAAAATAAAAGTTAATTTATTAACTTTTAATTGGGATGTAGGGTTTAATATGGCCTATGTGTAAAGCTGATTTATCTGAAGAAAAGGAACTAAATATTCTAAACTTGGGAATTGCATATATTTCAAGGTTGAATTCACATTCTATTTTTTAATCAGGAGGTGATTTTGTTTTTGTTACTTCTTTTGCTTGCTCTAATTTATAGCAATCTCATTTTGTCTGACCTTCTGTAATAGTTATAGTTTATGTCAATCTGTCATTTTCATATATTTTTCACTCGTTTATATGTAGATACTTTACCTTCAAGATTCTGAGCTACATGAAAGTAGGAACCTGTTGACATTATTTTTCTAGTAGGTGTGGCTTCCAACAGTGTGTTATGCTCATGGAGGCAGCAATACAAACATGCTACATTATATTTCTAAGTTTGGAGAAAGTATCAGTCTTTCATAGAGTTTGATTTATAAGGTTTAAAAAATATTGTCTTAGTCTAGAAAAATATAAAACAGTAAATAAAATAGAGACTCCTACCATTTTCACAGTTGGTTTCAGGGGAATGAAGCCAGATACCATCTTCACGTCAACAATCGCCATGTTGGAGGCAGGACGGTTCCCGGTGTAACTGAAGATCCAGGGAAGGAAGGAATTGGGGTTTTCTTTGTTATTAAATAGTCTTTTTTTTTCTATTTCCACAGTAAGCACTCAACAGCCCTAAAAGGTTCATGGGAGTCTTCCTAAGTGTCCTACTCAAGTGGTTCAGAAAACTGGCTCTGCATTAGATTTTTAGGGAGCCTGTTAAAGCCACAGAGATCAGGCCTACTTCTAGACATGATGAATCAGAATTCCACATGTGTGGACTCTGAGGATGTGTGTTTTCAGAAAGCTCTACAAGTGATGCATAGCTGGACTTGAGACCTCTAACCTGTGTCAGTTATTTAGTACATGTACTTTATCTTAATTTTTTTTCCTTAATAGTATCTCCAACCAGGTTTTAATATTCTTGGGTACAGACACATTTTCTTTTTGTCCATTGAGACATTTTATTTGCACATATGTATGATATTCTCAGAAAAATATTCCCAGGATTTTCCCTCCTTTGTGTTTTTAACTTGCTTCTTCATGGTCCATGATGCCCGCTGAGGTTGTCAGTACAATAAAACCAATTGATGGGATGTAAGCAGGTTTTCCTGCCATTTTTCTAGATCTTTGAGTTGCATATCAAATCTGGGGCCGATTACTCCACACTTGTTTAACCTGCCTGTGAG